GTCCAGTTGTGAGGGTTTTTGTTTTCTTTATGTTGAATTGTAATCCATATTGATGGCTGTGGTCTTTGATCTTCATCGGTAAGTGCTTTAAGTCCTCTTCACTTTCAGCAAACAAGGTTGTGTCACCTGCATATTGCTGGTTGTTAATAAATCTTCCTCCAATCCTGATGCCCTGTTCTTCATATAGTCCAGCTTCTCGGATTATTTGCTCAGCATACAGATTAAGTAAATAGGGTGAAAGGATACAACCGTGACACATATCTTTCTTGACTTTAAACCATGCAGTATCCACTTGTTCTGTTCGAACAACTGCCTCTCAGTCTATGTACAGGTGCCGCATGAGCACAACTAAGTGTTCTAGATTTCCCATTCTTTGCAATGTTATCCATAATTTGTTAAGATCCACACAGTCAAATGCCTTTGCATAGTCAATAAAACACATGTAAACATGTTTTTGGTATTCTCCACTTTCAGCCAGGATCCATCTAACATCAGCAATGATATCCCTTGTTCCACATACTCTTCTGAATCTGGCTTGAATTTATGGCAGTTTCCTGTCAATGCAGTGCTGCAATCACTTTTGAATAATCTTCAGTAAAATTTTCCTTGGTGTGATATTCATATCGTTCAATAATTTCCTCATTCTGTTGCATCACCTTTCTTTGGAATGAGTACAAATATGGATCTCTTCCAGTCAGTTGGCCAGGTAGCTGTCTTCCAAATTTCATGGCATAGGCAAGTGAGCACTTCCCGTGCTGCATTTGTTAGTTGAAACATCTCAGTTGGTGTTTCATCAGTTCCTGGAGCCCTGTTTTTCACCAATAGCTTCAGCACAGCTTGGACCTCTTCCTTCAGTACCATCAGTTCTTGATCATATGCTACCTCTGAAATTGCTGAATGTCAACTGATACTTTTTGGGACAGTGAGTCTACATTCCTTCCATCTTCTTTTAATGCTTCCTGAGTCATTTAATTTTTCCCCATAGGATCCTTCAATATTGCAACTTAAGGCTTGAAATTTTTTTTCCGTTCTTTCAGCTTGAGAAATGCCTAGCATATTCTTCCCTTTTGGTTTTCTGTTTCTGGGTCTTTGCACATTTCATTATAATACTTTGTCTTCTGGAGCCGCCCTTTGAAATCTTCTGTTGAGCTCTGTGACTTCATCATTTCTTCCTTTTGCTTTAGCCACTTGATGTTCAAGAGCAAGTTTCAGAGTTTCTTCTGACATCCATTTTGGTTTTTTCTTTCTTTCCTGTCTTTTAATGACCTCTTGCTTTCTTTATGTATGATATCCTTGATGTCATTCCACAACTTGTCTGGTCTTCGGTCATTAGTGTTCAACGCATCAAAACTATTCTTGAGATGGTCTCTAAATTCAGGTGGGATATGCTCAAGTTCATGCTTTGGCTCTCTTCAGGTTATCATCCCTGGCATAGTAGACTATATGATTATCTGATTCAAAATGGCCAATACTAGTCCATTTCAGCTCACTAATGCCTAGGGTATCAATGTTTATGCATTCCATTTCATTTTTCATGACTTCCAATTTCCCTAGATTCATACTTCATACATTCCATGTTCCAATTATTAATGGATGTTTGCAGCTGTTTCTTCTCATTTTGAGTCATGCCACAACAGCAAATGAAGATCTTGAAAGCTTGACTCCATGTACAGTGGGTTCAAACTGTCAGCCTTTTGGTTAGCAGCCAACTGCTTAACCATTCATATACTATCCATTTATAGAAATGGGATATTTTTGAAGAAACAAAATAAAGTTATTGTAAAAGATGAAATTTGATCCCTACCTCAGACCATATATACAAAAATCAAATTCAGATTGAATAAAGACGTAAATGTAAAAAAAATTTCATAATGCTTAGTGGAAAATGTTAAGTTAATATCTTTTAGATACTGGCACAAGGAAAAATGTTTTAAAATAAGGCACAAAAAAGATTAACTAGAAAAGTAAAGTTGGAGAAATATCACGATATTAAAATTAAGAATGCCCATTCATTAAAAGACAACTTTCAAAGAAAAGACAAATTACAAACTTGGAGAAAATACTTGCAATTGACACTACTGACAAATAATAAGTATGAAAATAAATAACTCCTACAAAACAAGAAGAGCATACACACACACACAGTGAAAAATGGGCAAAACAAACATTTTGCAGAAAGGAAACACGTATGGCTAATAAACATAGAGGAATTCCGCACCATTAGCCATTAGCAAAATGCAAACAGCGACCACAATGAGGAGATATCTTTTCAGACCCATTCATTTGGCAAAAAATAAAAACTCTGATACTACCAAATGTTGAACAGGACGTGGATCCACAAGATTTCTTATACATTGCAGGTCGGAGTGCCAATTAGCATGACCACTTTCAAAAAGCGGTTGGCATGACCTCCTTATTTGATTAGTCACAAATTCTATGTTTCAGAAATTCTACCTGGGTATATACCTAAAAAAAAAAAAAGCCTCTTGCACATGTACAATAGGAGATATATACAAGAATGTGCATACCAACCCTGTGCACAATGGCAAAAAACCTGGAAATAACCCAAATGCCAATCTACAGGAGAAGACATGAATAAACTACGGTATGTTCATGTAACATTATATAGCAGTCAAAAAGAATGAACTCCAATAATATGAACATGTCTAAGGGATATAATATATTAAATGAAAAAAGTACCAGAGAATTACATACATGAATCTATAACATGATTCACATCTGATACCATTTTTATAAATTTGAAAACAATTAAAATATAAATAAATACTTCTATAAAAACATATAAATGTTGAAACCATTTAAAAAGGAAAGTAAAGGGCTGATCAACTCGGCGTTCAGGGTGATTGTTACCGCAGGATGGGAAGAGGAGGTGAAGGGATGGGTTGATGAAAGGTCTACATGGTTAGTTATCAGATCTAAACTTCTGGTTTGGGTGGTGGTTTTACCAGTGCTTATCACATTTTTGAAGGAACTAATATATAAAAATAGGCTATGCATGGACAAGATGAGAGAGTGTCAAGAACCAAGGATTATGATTGTTCCAATTCTGTGCCTATGAGGTCCTCTAAAGAAAAAATGGAGAAATCTTTATTGAGAACAAACCTAAAACAAAGATCAGACTGAAATCGTATCAGCCCAAAGAGAGAAAATAATCTCACTAGGCCTGACGACTCAACGGCAGTGGTTTTGGTTTTGGTTTAGGTCTGATGCAGACTATTTGAGGAGGGAACTGTGTTTAGTCCAGTATTACTCAGAAAAGAGAAACTGACGCTATCTTAAAGATCCATCAATAAAGGAAGGGTTTGAAAAATCAGGCAACATTCATACACTCTCATTAATTCATCTAATGAACACACTGACTGAGGGCCCACAATTTGGCAGACACTGTGGGACACAACAATGTCTGAAAACCAGCACAGGTCCTCCTCTCGTGGAGCTCAGCCCTGGTGGGAGAGACAGGCATTATTTGAAGAACCACATGTATAAACACGTATACTGGAAGCAGATGGGAAACCCTGGTGGTGTAGTGTTAACAGCTACGGCTGCTAACCAAAAGGTCAGCAGTTCGACTCCACCAGGCAGTCCTTGGAAACCCTATGGGGCAGTTGTACTCTGTCCTATAGGGTTGCTGTGAGTCAGAATCGACTTGACGGCACTGCGTTTGGTTTTCAGGTTTTGGAAGCAGATGAAGGCTGTTAAGAAAATGAACACAAGTCTGAAAAAAAAAATCTCATGTAATATCCAAAAGTCACACAGATTAATCAAGCAATATTAAAGATTTGGTCCATGTATGCAGAACAGAATTTCAAATTCTCATGGACTCCAGACTTCCTGGAGCCCTGGAGGTTGGACGAACCCTTGAAACTATTGCCCTGAGATAATCTTTAAACCTTAAACCAAAAATACCCCCTCAAGTCATCTTAAAACCAAACAATAGTTTAGCTTAAGTAGTAAAAAAGGCCTGCGTTGAGCATTATGCTCTTTCAAGAACTATCTATATGGGATCAAATTGACAGCAGTGAATTTAGCTAGAAACCTTAGGTAGCAATGAGTTTATGTTAATAAGGGAGGAACAACTCAGAAAAAGAGGATGAGAATGGTTGCACAACTCGAAGAATGTAATCAATGTCACTAAATGGTACAGGTAGAAACTGTTGAATTCGTGTGTGTTTTGCTGTGTGTATTTTCAACAACAACAAAATAAATGAAATTTAGAAAAGAAAACGAAAGAAAGATTTGGCCCATGTGAAGGACAGCATACCAAGAATCTGAGTTAATGAACTTTCACAAAGAAAAGGAAAGTAATTCAAACTGGAGGATGAGGGCTTTACAGAACTTGCGTAGTTTATCCTAGATTTCTCTTAGATTACTTAACATAATCACCCAGCACAGCACCAACCCACACTCAATCCATATTTGCGGAATTGTTTTTGAAACATCCAAGTCTCTATCTGACCGAGAATATTATTCTCTCAGAACAAAACTGGTGGAATGCGAAATTGGAAACATTCTAATGTCAGAAGACAAGTCAGAAGAAATGATGTTTATCCTCATGTGAATTTCCTTCTTCTATTCCCTGATTATAAAATGGGTGTGTGTTTGTTTGGCTATTTATTTATATAAAACCACAGTTGCCATCAAGTCAATTCTGACTCATGGTGACCCCATATGTGTCAGAGTAGAACTGTGTTCCATAAGGTTTTCAATCGCTGATTTTTCAGATGTAGATTGCCAGGCCTTTATTCTGAGGCACCTCTGGGTAGACTCAAACCTCCAACGTTTCGTTTAGCAGCCGAGTGTTCAACCGTTTGTGCCACCCAGGGACGCCGTATAAAGTACAGACCGACAGTAGCAAATGAGATCTTGAAGTCATCTTCTGCAGCAGCTTCTTTGGACAAAGTATTGTTTAACCACCTTTAATTAATAAGTGCATATTCTACAGAAAGACCTATGAGAATTATTAACTATCTAAATCGTACCAGCAGGGCAAATGCAGGTGAAATTGCTTCCCTCTTGCTTTTCATCCGCATCCATACAGCTCGCGTTGTTCTCACAGGGTTTCTTTTGGCAAGCATCAAATTCTTCGCAGAAAGTCCCCACATACTGGTCCTCGCAGCTACAGGAAAAAGTTGCCTAGAACACAAACACACAAACTATGTTACCTGAGTCCTTGAAACTGTTTGCTTTGGCTGTGAAAACGCAAAGTTCAAAAGCTCCACTTCATTTTTATAATTATACCAACATCAACAATTTTAATTACTTATATCATGAGCGGGCTAAACCCATAGTTTTAAGAGAAGTCTTCTGTGTCTCTTTGTGGTTCCATTTCAAATATTTATTTTAGTAGTTCTTCACTCATATTTATCCCAACCATTTTCAATCTTCCTAAAATGGAAATGGAAAGAACAACTTATTTTAAGCAAAAAAGGGAGTTTGGCTGACCTGACATGGAAGTGGCAATTTTGTTAGAGCAGATAGCTTGCGCTACCACCAGTAAATTAGACATCAAACTCAGCCAACTAAAACCCATCAGCATAGACAGCACTCGCAACCACAACATGATCCAAGTCCTGCTCAAACCATCCTTCCAATGTACTAGGAGAATTACTGAATTTCCCTGGTTAGAGACCTCGATGTACATCATGTAGCCTACCTGAATCCAAGGGAAAAATCAAAAACGTAACCTTTTTGTTTGGGTTGTTATATTATCATTGTTTTAGTTAAAGACAATAATTCAGGCCTGAAAGACTAACCTTGATTTGAAACTTTATTCCTTCCATATTCTCGCAATAGGCTGACTTCCGGTCTGGTTTTCGGGTTTTTTTTTTTTTTTTTTCCTTTTGAGAGTATGCTGTGTGTGCGTTTGCACAGGTTTCACAGTAGGAAGCTAGGAGAAGCCTCACCAAGGTCTGTGAGAAAGGTATCTTTTTAAATAAGAAACCCCTTTTTCTAGAACTGTCATCTGAGGAGAGACTTGTCCTTACTCATATACAGTACAGAGTACACCTTTGATATTTGCAGAAGATGTGTGTGGAGCTCTTTGTGAGCCCATAGATTCGTGATTGCCTTTGAGATGTAAATGCTGTGCACGCCCAGTGCATATCATTCCAATGTGGGCCTCAGCATCGTGATAAATTACTACATGTCATTGTTTCTGGCAGCTGTCCTCTAAATTGACTGGGTTTGTATCCAGACATTCCATATTGCAGATAAATTTCCTTGGTTATTTGCATATAATTCATCTGGTGAGTTCCATGGAAAATACGTTCCTTGTGAAAATAAATTATTAAAATCCCCAAATCAAACCTCTTCGATTTAGCCTTGATTAGAATTAAAGTTAAAACAGAAGCAATGCATTTTGTTTTACTTTGTTTGCGGCAGGGACTGGGAAAGAAACTTTAAGAAGCTATTGATTTGAATGCTTTGGACAAGGCAAAATACTGAATTGATTCTTAACCTTTGTGAGGTGGGTGACGAAGAAAATTAAAAAATGTTTACATACCTATGACCATAAAATTTAAGGCAAAGCTTTACATACTCTGTATCATGTCATCCACAGTTACATTTCTTCCTAAATGTATTTTCTAAGAAGAGCAAAGAGCTTTCCTATAATACTAAAAAGTTTAATTTTATAGAAGAATCCTGATCAAATGGGGGGGAAATGCAGAACAGAATTTCAAATTCTCATGGAATCTAGACTTTCTGGAGCCATGGAGGCTGGATGAGCTCCTGAAACTACTGCCCTGAGATAATCTTTAAACCTTTAACCAAAAGTATTCCCTGAAGTCTTCCTTAAACCAAACAATTACCCACTGCCATCAAGTCAATTCTGACTCATAGTGACCCCACAGGGCTTCCAAGATTGTAAATCTCTACAGAAGCAGAATGCCACATCTTTCTCCTGTGGGGCCTCTGGTGGTTTCAAACCACTGACCTTTCATTAACAGTCGATCACTTTAACCACTGCACCACCAGGACTCTTTAAACCAAACAATAGCATAATTAAAAAAGAGTATCTGCCTTGAGCATTGTGCTCTTTCAAAGAACTATCTATATGGGATCAAGTTGTCAACAACAACTCAAAAGGTTAGAGAAGACACTTAGGGATCAGTGAGTTCATGTTAATGCTGGAGGAATAATTCAGAAAGGGAGGGTGAGAATTGTTGCACAACTCAAACAATGTAATCAATGTCACTGAACTGTACATGTAGAAATGGTTGAATTGGTGTATGTTTTGCTGTGTACATTGTCAACAACAACAAAAAAATAAATTCTTAAAAAAAGAACCCTATGGAGTATAGTTCTATTCTGACACACATGGGGTTGCCATGAATTGGAGCTGACTCGACAGCACTAGTTTGGTGGTTTTTTTTTTTTGGGGTTTATTAAGTATGTGTTACTTTTCTTATTGAAAGATGAAAATAACCATTAAAAAAAAATAAGTTCTAGAAGCTGAGAAAAATTTTTAATAGTTTCAATACTGCATGAATGTTTATGAAAGAAATATGTTTATTAGCATATTTGTTGTAGAAAACTACATTCGATCACTGAAAGTTGTTATCTATTATATCCAATCTTGAGAAATTTAACTCACTGACTAGGATATCACTAACCCAAGTATGATTAATTCAACCAGCATAACAGACAAAATAGACTTATTTAATTTGCTAAATTGTAGAAAGGCACTTCTATGTAAAAAGACATTTTCAGGTAAAATAAAAAGTGGCTGTCAGAGATTAATTTTAAAACCCCATGCAGAATCTCAATTTTCCTCAACAGCTTGATGTCAGATATTCCATTTATATGTGAATGAAAATTTTCTCACTGGTAGGAAGATTACTTTGAAAAGTTCAAAAAAAATCAGCCATGCATTCACTCATTTATTCATCCATCCAACTAATGTTTATTGAGTACCTACTATGTGCCAGGGCACTGTTTTAGGAGCTGGGGACACAAAATAGAACAAGACAGATCAGGCCCTTGTTCTCATGGAGCTATTATTCTAGTCAGGGTGACCAATGCAAAACAAAATGAATAAGTGAGTGATGTAGTGGATTAGATAAGTGCTATGGGGGGAAATAAAGTAAGGAAGAGGAATCGAAGCACTGGGGTGTTACGGAGGGTACCATTTTGAACAAGGTATACTGAGAAAGTGACAATTGTGTAAAGACTTGATGGAGGTGAGGGAGTGAGCCATACATGTATCTGAGGGAACAGTGTTCCAGGTAAAGGGAACAGCCAGTGCAAAGACCCTGAAGTAGAGTTGCCTAGCAGGTTCAAGAAACAGCCAGAAGCCAGTGTGGCTGGAGTAGAGCAAACGACAGGGAGACTAGTGGGACATGAGAAAAGAAAGGTATTAGAGGGTAGGGCCAGGTTCATATAGGGCAGAGTTTTTCATTTTACCCTCCAGAGACATTTGACAATGTCTGGAGACAATTTTTGGTTGTCACACTTGGGGGCAGGGTGCACAGGACAGCTCCCCACCGCAAAGAATTATCCAGTCCCAAATATCATATCAATAATGTCAAGGTTGAGAAACCCTGATGCTAAACCATATAAGCACCATAAAGACTACAAAACTTTGGAAAGATGGTACCTATGCCAAAAAAGACCCAAAATGGTCTAGTATATAGTAACGTTGCCGTACGTGACACGGCTTTGTTCCGTTACTATATTTTACTTTATTTTGTTGTGATCACACTCTAACCATGACTATAAGTAATCCCACCGTCTCACAGCTACCTCAAAGCAGAAGCTGGATAGCCATCTATTCAGGCACGTTTTGGTTAAGTTCCTCAGTTTTTACACTACTATGTCAGCTTTACTGCCATCTTGGGTGATCTGCCAAGTATAAGAGGTATCTTTATTCAGCATTATCGGATAACTGGCTCTTATCAGACCATTTAACCTGAACTGGCTATTGTCCAGCTTTCATTCTTTAATTCCACTCATTCAATGAGCACATATTGAAACATGCAATACTGTGGGTACTAAAAACGGCAGTTCTACTCTGTCCTGTAGGGTCGCTATGAGTCAGAACCAACTTGACGGCACCTAACAACAACAACAACAAGGATGTTGTGGAGAGCAGATGGACGCAGTTGCTGTTCTCATGGAGCTTACATTCTAGTGGAAGAGATGGACACACTGGACATAAGAAATGTCCTAGAGTGATAACAAACAAATACATAAATATGACTACTAGCTGAAAGGTTGACAGTTCAAACCCACCCAGAGGTACCTCAGAGGATAAGCCTGGTGATCTGCTTCTGAAAGGTCACAGCCTTGAAAACTCTATAGAGCAGCTCTACTCTGCATACATGGGGTCGCCACGAGTTAGGATCAACTCAACGGCAACTAACAGCAACCTCTTGTCACATGGTGGTTATGTGCTACAAAGAAACGTAAATTGAGATGAGAGGACAGATAGTGATGGTGGAGTACAAGCTGACTTTTATCTCGAAGTCTAGTTGGAAGGACCAATGTTTTTGAAGAACTGCTGTACATAAACATAATCCAACCCTTCCTCCATATAGCCTTTTCCTTTATTGCTAAATCAAGCCCAACCATCAGAAGACTTAGTTCTGGACTATGTTCTCTTGTTCCATGGCAGAACTGCTTTTACTGACCTGCTATTGGACCTTATGCTCTCAACTAACATTGAAAGGTCCTATAAGAAACGTTACTATTAAACCTACTATTGCATTTACCATGAAGATGTTGTTGAGGACATCATTTAAGTGTCTCATTTATGAAGCCGTACCCAAGAAAATTCATTCATATTTAAGTGCCAGTAAATGTTTTGCTGGTCTTGAAAACTGATGTTTTGTCCCATGAGAATGCAAATCATGTGACTACCCATATTTTCCTTTTTTGATTTGGCTGCTATAAGCTCAGAGTCAATTTGCAGTTCAGGGCACCATGACCTGTATAACTATGTTCTCCATCTAATTTGAATATTGCCTTCTAATCTATATGTTCCCTGTTCTAACTTCGATCTGCATCCAAAAGTTCACAGCCATGAAAACTCCCTGGAGCACAGTTCTACTCTGACACATGTAGGGTCACTATGAGTCGGAATCTACTCAATGGCAATTAACAACTTAATTTTTGATACTTTTATATTTTAATAC